ACAGATATTGGATGGCGATCAACGCCAAATCTCAAGTTTAACTTTACCAATGATATACTAAGACCGGAACCGTCGAAAAATTGTGATTCCGAGGGTTTTCTGGACGGCAGGTTCTGTGTATCTGAGCCGAACATTCCCATACATCCAAAATTAGCTGGCGAGACAGCTGCAGATATTGGGTGGCGATCAACGCCAAATCTAAAGTTTCAGCAGGTCACCAGCGATGTACGGAAACCGAAATCGTTGAAAAATTTTGATTCCAAAGGTTTTCTGGACGGCAGGCTCTGTGTATCTGAGCCAAACATCCGCATACATCCAAAATTAGCTGGCGAGACAGCTGCAGATATTGGGTGGCGATCAACGCCAAATCTAAAGTTTCAGCAGGTCACCAGCGATGTACGGAAACCGGAATCGTCGAAAAATTTTGATTACAAAGGTTTTCTGGACGGCAGGCTCTGTGTATCTGAGCCAAACATCCGCATATATCGAAAATTAGCTGGCGAGACAGCTGCAGATATTGGGTGGCGATCAACGCCAAACCTAAAGTTTCAGCAGGTCACCAGCGATGTACGGAAACCGGAAAGTCCAAGACACACACGTCCTCGTCGTTCATTTTGGCGCCAGACAAAGAAATTTGTCAGGCGGTTCCTTTGTTGTTGTGGTTCTGTTGACAAGATAGACCAGTAATATGTATATTATAGAAATTAAAAAGGTTTATAAACATCCCCTCCTCTCCCACCGTTATCTCACTTTTGTGTTCGCTGGTACTATTCTGAAACCGTATTTAATATTTATCATGTCCTCCATTGTCATTTGTACCAAGTTAGTGTAGGTTTGCCTCACGTATTTCATGCACTGTACGTCTGTACCATCGTCGGCTCTTCGCCACCTGTTTTGTTCTGTATTAATTAAATTAATATTATTAATATTATTATGTTACTCATATTAAACGTATTATTATAAAGTATGTACTTACTATGTATTAATACCTATCTAATAGATAGTATCTATTATATCTACCTCATTCGATTTGCATAAATATATGTAATAATCCTATATAGTCACGCAGGTGGATATTGTATTGTCATGTATGTCATCGATTTTCATGATAGTAAAAAAAATAAAAATTATCTATACTAGAGTGGTTGACAAATGATTTACTTCACCTTCCGTTTAACCACCCCAAAATCTAGCCATGTACGGGTGCGCATAATATATAATATAATATAATATATAAATTATAATATATCGCTCATAAAAGTCCACTCCTCTCCGTTTCGACTAGTTACGAATTATATTATAGTATTTACCTATTCGCAAACAGCTCGGTGTTATATGCCTGCGGATAATGTTATTTGTTCTGCATCGTGATATGGAAATAACCGAATACACACTGAAATAAACGTGCAAGTGTGCAACCATGTAGACGTCTCTGCGGCAAACACCGCGTCGTAAGTTTGAGCTTCAGTGGTAGGTAAACATTAATAGGTACTGTTAAAAATCGTGAGTAGTACTTAGAAGACTCTCCAGGCGTGTTATTCGCACACTCCACACATAGAGTAAATAGATTAACTTTTTTTAAACTGAGTTAAGTTAATATTTTTTTCTATATGAACTTTTAATTTAGGTATCGAGTTAAATTTATAATTTGTTAACTGCTAACTTTTAACTAATCGATCTTGTGTCCTCTTAACTTAATTTAACTTGAGTTAATTATATTTTCATTAACTTGCCCACATTTGAGTTGTATCGAAATTAAACTTAAATATCGTTAGGTACTGAAAAGGGAAAAGAAGTAGGTATAGGTATTAGGTACCCAATAGAGAATCGTTTGTTAAACTCGACAATATGCTTAACAATAAGCACTTCTATATGTATTTTGTTTCAATAGTTTTAATGAGTCATTTTATGTAAGAATTATTTGCAGTAAAAATTATAATAATTTCATATGATAATAATGTGTATACCTATTACCTACTGTATTCAATTCAAAAAATATTTTAAGTTTAATCCAAAAATATGTAAAAATTAAAATTAAAATAGAAAATAATAATGATTTCTTATAATAATAATGTGTATAAATACTGGCTTACAGGACTTCTAAATTTTAATTTTAATGAGAGTTTTGCGGAATGCTGAAGTGATCTCCATTATCCTTGGAACACAGTTTCAGAAAAGCTGCCATAGAGTATACTAACCACATAGTTTTTCCATGTAAATAGATCTACCTACTGGCTACTAAACAACTATTATTTCATTGATCGTAGTGTACTAGTGTAACTGTGTAAGTAAAATAATTCCTAATAAATATGCCTAAAACCTCAAATATGCCAAACTACTAACCAGTAGGTACAAGTTTGTTACTGTGAAAACCTCCCTCAAGGTTGAAAATTTAATCATTTTTACTGCTCCAAAAGACGATGGCCACTGACCAGGGCTCGGAAGTTGAAGATGTTGCATATTATACTATGATATGCACTCGATTTATAGGTGTCAGCAGACCATGCTAAAAATCTGAACTATAGAATGGTGAGCTTAAAATTTAAAATGCATATTTCATCAATTTTATGCGAAAAGTGCAGAAGTATTTATTTTCTTGATTTTCAAACGCATATTAGGTAGTATATACCTAGGTACAATGCCTGTTTAATACTTTCTAACAAAATCGATTCATTATTTATATCATTGGTAGGTACCTATTGCATTTTGGTATACAGATAAAAAAAAAGGTGTTATGCTGTACAGTAGGTATTACAAGTGGGTCACTGTATAATGGATGGTATTAAATTTGAATTCAATGATATAATATCATTGTATAAGAAAAACGATTCTGAGCGGAGACGATATGTCAGTCTAGGTATAAGACATAATATTATATACTTATCTATGGTATTAAAAAAAAATTGACCTATAATAAATTCCAAACTAATCATATCACAATATCCATTAGGTACTTATAACGCGTTATACATCAACAAAAAACCGTGATACTATCACAGATATATAATAGTACACTTTAGAAGTTTCAAGTACTCACGAATAATATTATACAATCACAACAAAATAACTAGTTTTTTTAATATGTAATTTCGTCCAAATTTGAATTAAAAATGACTATAAAAATAAACTGTGTAGGTGAGTTTTTAGATTTTTTGGTTTGAATTTCAAACGCTCATAAAAATTTAATTTGACTTTCTTATGGACATTTTTTTTTTGATAAAGGTAGATCATTTTATAAGGAATCTTGTATAAAATTTAAAATGAAAAATTTTTAAGAATTCTTAACTCAAAAAAATTTGCTAATTTTCGTGATTTCCCATATTTTGTCAATTTTTGAACTTTAAATGCTTATAAAAAAAAACTGTGACTAAGGATTTTTAATATTTTTCATCTTCCTTTGAAACAATATACTAGAAGCCTTCTATTATAAATTTTCAAGCTTTTTTAACCAAAAAATAAAATTTATTGATATTTTTAGAAAAAAAACTAAAAAAAAATGGAAAATGAAAATGTTCCTAAACAGTTCAAAACAAATCATAATATTTTGAAAATTTTATCGTGTATAGAAAATGAAAATATAAACAGTCAGTAAAAATGTCATGTATATACGATCATTTCTTTTAGAATCAAAAAATCGATTTTGCGTAAAAATTCCCGTTTTTCCTTAATTTTTATGTTGTTTTTCACGGCGCATTTGAAATCTACTGGAAATCTAATTTTGACCCTCTAAAGTTCCAACTAGATTCACTTTCCTATCAGAAAAGATACTGCTGAAGAAAATCCAAGCACTTTTACTGTCCTAAAAGGTGATGACAGACACAAAAAAAAATTAAAAAAAAACACACATCATTGTAAAATCAATACATTCATCGTTCCGCTCAGAATCTAAAACGCACAGCACGAGCCAGTCGGAGCCACGAAGGCAATCCCCGCAATTCTTGGTATACTCGGTTGCAACTTAGTTATTACATGATACCAAAAAAATAATGTCCAATCACAAGCCAACAACGACAAAAATATAAACACACAGCGTATCTTTAAAATTTGAGTATAATACCTATTCATAAATCGTAAAATTATTCCAACAAATTTATAGAAAATAAAATATTATATATTATAATGTATATTCATTTAATAAATAATAATTAATAACACTAAAGTATACCTACAATGGCTAGTTGTAGGAGCACATGAATAGGTATCTTAATAGTTAATATGAATATAAAGTTAATGTTCTGTTCATATAATCTGAAACTCAAAGTGGTAACCCTATAGATACTTTTAAATCTAAATCTCCTTAAGATAATCATTATTATCGCTATTCGCTAGCTATAACTAGTAATTTATAGCAGTGTCCGAGACAGCAATTTTTCGTTTAAAAATATTATCATCGTACCTACTCATGTCGTAGTACCTCGACTGGGAGGCCTCTACATTCCATCAAATCTACCTTTTTATTTTTCTTATTTTAACATTTTAACCCATCAATTGTTCTTATTGTTCTTCTTTGTAACAGATTGATTAAAAAAACATACAGGTAAATCAAAAAAAAAAATATTATCATAACAAAATTTTGTCTTGGTAGTATAGTGCATATAAAAATATTATTAGGATCAGCTTGTACCTACACATTTAAAACAGTATCAACATTTTAGAACACAATATTGTTTTTTTTACTTATAATACCTACTTAATTTATTTTACGTGGGGAAACAATAAATTAGAGTAATTACTAATTCCAATGAAAAACAGCCGATAGATATGTGATGATCACGACTCACTTTTCTTTAGCCGTAACATAGTTAAAATTATTTTATTCAATAGTGTTCAGTGCGGGCGTAATATAGTTTTTTTCTTTATATCTATTCTGAAATTTCGTTTTTCGTATTAGTTATTTTCAGCATAACGGAGATAACGTTGTATGACATCGACATTATCTGAAATTAAATTGAAATTTAGTTAGGTATATTGTGTTCAATTAATATTTTGTAACTATAATATTATAAACAAAACGGTGTTAATACACTAGCAAATATTTGAAGGTTGATGATCTTTTTCGGTGTAGCTCTTATCACTAAATTATTAGCATCATTCATCCGCATAGCCAATAACAACAACTTTTTAAATTTTAAATCCATCTGGGTCCAATTTGCAGAGTATATGCTAAAGTTAACTAATTCTCTCTGTATAAATAAAAATACCATCAATATATTATGTCCGTCGTACCTACGTCAATATAATAGTCGTCTTAATTTACCTGTATGTTCATGTTGTCAAATAGATAACAATAAATATATAACTCTAAAGAAATATAATAAGCGGTTGATCCGAGCTTGAGCAAGGTGAGGGCTACATCGCCTACATCCTGTTCCATTTCCAACCATACCTATAAGTACAACGTAATTCAGATGTTAAAAACGGATGAATCTATGATTAATCAAGAACTAGACAATAAGATACGGAAGTATAATTTATAAATGTATAATACACAGGCATACAGCGTTTATTTGTAGTTTACCGTATTTTATCGTCGTCAATAATATCTATCGCAGATAACTACCGTAGGAAGGTGTAAGGTGGACCAGTTTTTGGTATATTTCTTAAGATTCCGAAGAATCTATTTGATCAAAACGATTGAAACTTAGAATATATAATCTATACGTATGAACTACCTATTCATACATTTTTTTTATAAATTTTCTTATACTTTTTTTTGTTCTAAATGTGGTCCACTTTACCCACAATCCACATATGTGGGGTGAAGTGGACCACCAGGCATTTGATTTTAATTAAAAACCACCTAGATAAATATTCTAGTTTTGAAGTGGACCACTGAATTGCCTTTTTTCAAATAGTTATACCTATTTTTGAGCATAACAATTATTTTTCCCTGTTTATTAAGTTATTAAATAATTTTCGTAAAGAAATTTGATTTAATTTCAAAGATTTGACTCTCACTTCTTAGTGTTAAATGTGTTTCAGTGTACTTCAAATTATAGTGATAATTATAATTTTTTCTGTTACTTCTCGGTGTTTTGAGGGGGTCCGATTCACCGCAGACGCTTTAAAAATTGTCTACAAATTGTTTCGCCAAAAGGCAAAAACTAAATAACAACAAATTTAAAATTATAATTGAAATAATTTTAAATTCATATGAACTCATTGATAAGATTATTAAGAATGAACATTTTGTATTTAGTTGCTTACTTTTGAGATATTATTATGACTTTTTAAAGACTTCCACATAAAAAAAAATGTAGTTTTGGTAACAAAATTATTTTGATGACATATTGTGTACTTATTGTTATCATTAGTATCAAAAATTGTTCGGTGTCGTATTGCTATGGAGATAGAATTGATTAAATTAATTTGGATAAAACCATGTCAAAGTTATGCTGATAAACATTCAAAAAAATGATAATGGGCCACTTCATAACTGCCGGTTCATTTCACCTCGTTCTACGGTATAATATATCGTCACTCGTCAGTTAAATAACTATAGTTCATCGATAATTAATAATTCCGATCAATTTCAAAACACGTCATTACACCTCATATTATATATTATAAAAAAAATAATAGTTTTTTAAGACGTGGATTAAAAAAAAAAACAAAAATATTAAAATTTACATTTTTAACACCGTTTTTTACGCTGGTTGCTGGTAGGCCGTTGTTATATATATATTTTCTGCAGTTTTATCGCTTAATATTGTACTTATTTTATTTTTTTGAATTAATAAGGCTTTTAAATTTAAAATTTAGATTCTGAGTGGAGAGTTGAATGTATTGATATTACAGTGATATGTTTTTCTTTTTTTTTTGTCTTCGCCGTTTGGGGCATTAACATTGCTTTGATAATTTTCAACAGTAGGTATCTTATTCGATGGAAAAGTGAATCTAGTACGATTGCATGGGTGCACTTGGAAGTTGGAAGGTCAAAATTTAAAATTCTCGATATTTTTCAAAAGCCCAAGGAAAAACGCAAAATTGGTTTTTGACCAAATCGTTTTTCATGTATTTTTGATGTACACGATAACACGCGTTTACTTGTTTTGAGTGGTTTACGGACATGTAAAAATATTTTGACTATTTTCAAGCTGTTTACTGACATTTTCAATTTTCAATTTTTTTAGTTTTATTTCTGTGAATGTCAATAAGATTGATTAATTTGTTGGATCAAAAAGCATGAAAAATTAATACAAGGCTCCTGATATATCGTTACAATAGTAGTTCAAAAATATTAAAAATACATATAGGGTCAAAATTTATTTTTATAAAAATGTAAACTTTAAAGTTTGATTTTTGATTTTTGACAACATTTATCGAATTTAAAATTTAAAAATGATTTTTTGGTTAAAATTGTATAAAATGTTCAACTTTTATGATACCATGGATTGAAAATGTAAAAGAAGGTTCAGCGTAAGTATAGGTTATTCTGTAACCAAAAAATCTCAAAAATATAAAAACACAATTTTTTTTTATGGTTAATATATGGACGAAATAACTTTGACAAAATCACTTATTAAATAACTAAGAATAACAATTTTAGTTAATTTTTTGTAATTTTATTGTACCTATTATTCAACTTACTGCCTATCGTATTAATTTTATAAGTAATAACAACATAAATATTATAATATTAAATATCCACACTGACAAACTGTCTCCGCTCAGAATTATTTTTCGTATACAATAATGATATTATAATTATTTCATTGAATTCAAATTTAATACCATCCATTATACCACTTGTAAGTGGTAATCTTCTATCCAGCAGAGTGACATTCACTTACCTGCTTATTATTTTTAAATGCATGTTTCATTTTATTATATTGACTGTTCGGGTCTAATATTTGTAATTCCAACTAAAAACTCTAAAGAAGCACCAGAACATTTGTGTAAATTAATATTTACAAATTGGCTCTTACATTTCGTATCGAAAGTGGTTTCAATTTTCAATACGTCAATAGTATCTATATTGTCTTTAGCATGTAATAAGTATAATATTATAGTAAAAGTTTAAATATAATTATCATACCATTATGAACCGGTATGTCAATAGTATGATAGAAGCTGAATCACATGCAACTGTCAATAAAACGATATGTTTCACAACCAAAAACAATGATTTAATTTTCCTAAAAATAAAACAAAAATAAAAGTTTAATATTTTTAAACAAATTAACATTTAATACTTTGTGCATTTAGTTTATATAATTGTGTTACCTATTTGATTCTCAGAAAACAAGACTATGAAAAAAATATAATTTACTAGCTTTCACCCGCGTGCTCCGCCCCAGTAGATAGTTTTTTTGAAAATTTTAGGGCTGTTTCGTGACTCCACAAATCCTGTCTATCCATCTTTTCAATGTTTTTTTTTTTTATATGAAGAGTAATTGAACTCTATGAAGAGTAGTGTAAAACTGTTAAAACTTATCTTAACTTTTTCGTTATCCGAAAAAAAAAATTCTGATTGTTCAACTTATTTTGGGTGTAATATGATGTTGAAGCAATATCTTTTTGAGTGTAAATGATATTGTATTTTAATGCATAGCCATCTCGACCGGCGTTATCCCGTGAGATTCGCAGCAGTATATTATCTGCAGGTAGGCAATCCCGGATCGCGGATACCGTGCTGTTTGTATTGGTAGTAGACATAAGCCCCAAAATGAAATAAGAAAAAAAATCGTATCGTAGAAAAGAGCAGAAATCCTAGATACCTGATTGCCACGCTTAATAGATATTACATTTAGAACTGTACCTATATTATATTTTAACAATTTTTTATAAGATCGAAAAATCCACTGATTTATTCAAAATATATATTTAATTGTATGTACCTACCTATATTATATTTTATCAATTTTTTATTGACATTTTTTTCAAAAGATCAAAAAAATCAACCGATTTATTAAAATTATAATTTATTAATTTCTATTATACTTATTGAAAATGTTTGATAACACTGACATTTTTAAATAACTATTTATATAAAATATTCATTTTAGCGCAAATTATATATCAATTTTGCACCACTGGTGCTTATGTCATGTTATAGCCGTTTGTACGTAAGTGTATAATTTAACTCTAAAGTATCAAAGTTATACCAAGCTTTTTGCTTTTACGTAATTCTCATAAAGTGGGTATAATATTAATTTCATCTTCAACTATATTGTTCCTAGATAAGAGCTCCCTTTCAACACCATTTATGGAGCGGAAAAAGTTTGATTTCCTATTTTTATTTTAATAAAATTCGTCAAAATTAACAGCTAAAACTACAACAATCACAATCAATAGAAACCTTAGAATAACCAAAAATATATTATTAATATGTTTATTTTTCTCCTGTACAGATTGTGCCACTGTTTTATTTTTGACATCCAGATTTCCTACTTTTCCGGTAGATTTTCCTAAAATGTTCTTTCATAATAACCTGGTCTTGACAATTACGAACACAACAAAAAAAGAATCAGCCAAATCGCTCAAGCCGTTTCGGAGCCAACCCTTGACACAAAATCTGGACTTGCTTTTATAGTAAAGATAATAAAATATTGATTACTGACATCATCTAGGTCTCTTAAGTCAAATTTTAGGACGGGAAGAGACAAACTGACAAACCATGTGCATATTCTAATATATGATATTCTAACCCATAAGGACAATATCATATATATGCAAATATAATATAGGAAATAAACTTACAAATTAAGTGTCACTTGATCATATAATATTGACTTAAACTCTTCAATATAATCTATAACAATACATGAATTATAACTCATAAGACAGTCATAACAATACCTAACATTCTAGTTAAAAAAAATTGATTCTCATACATATTTTCCTTTAATTTGTACTCTCACGTGATGATTTTAGAATTAGTAAGTGCATAGTTTATTTTAATATAACTAATGAAACCAAACGATGATAATGTATAATATTAAAAACATTACTTGTATTACTTGTTTGAGGATTTTCTTCATGCCCGAAGTTCTTAAACGCCTGAATGAGAATCGTCTGTTGAGACATTAATACTGAACAAAATAATATTAATAGCAAGTCTGTCATGATAAAACTGTACATTGAACACAATGCAATAATAGCTTCCATTAAGTAAAATATAACAAAATACTGATTATAAGTTTGTGCAGATGCGCCGAAATTCAAGTTCAGAATATTCTCGAAACGAACATTTGAATTTTTTGGTGTTGTGAACAAATTGATCGCTATTGGAAAAATAAACCATTGTATTATGACTACAATTGAGAAAATTACATACCAGTTTGTATACTTTCTAGATTTATCACAATAATTGTAAAGAGTATTTTTGTAAATAACACACTGTTTACTTGTGAAAAAATCAAATCGCGTTAC